CTAAGGGGAAGTGAGTAAACTTTTTACTGCAGTTCACTTGACATGCTATAATGTGAGGTCTTGATTTAATGGAGGAAGAGAGATCCAAGCAGAGCTGAACACTGCTAAGCCACACTGGTTTCTGTGGGAGAGAAGCAGCAGTTTGTGGGTGGGTGTCTTCAGTTCAGAGTAAGCCTCACACTGTTCAGTGATTCTTAAGCAATTCTGAAGCTGTTATGCAGCCTTTTATAAAACTGCCAAACTAGTAAGAATGCAGCCAAAACCAACCCAATGTTCTCCTGTTTGGAGAACTGACTTTGGCATTTCTTAAGGAGAGGGATGTGTTTAATATGGATGGCATTTTTGTGATAACATTCCCGAGAAGTTTTATCTGCCTTCCCCAGCTTCCTCTGGTCATGTTGGATTTCAATTCTGATAGTTCCCCAATTCAGCCACCATTGAGCATGCTGGTTGAGGAATTACGGGAGATGAGGTTCAGCTTATCTGGAGGGCATCAGTTTCAGAAAAGCTGAGTTATATGTCAGTTTTATTTGTTTCTTCCTTTTTGAACTAGGCTAAAGGCAGGTTCCAAAAAGAAACCTAAATACAAAATGTCAGTATGAAAATTAAAGTCAATATAACTGCCAGCTGGAATGTTCCAGTCATTGTGCAGTAGGGTGTACCCAGACTAAAATTTGTCCACCCCTTTGTTTGAAATAGTCCTAGAGGCTTCTAAGTTTTTTAACTTGCCATTTGAAAGTCTGCAGCTTTATTTGTCAGCCTACCTGTGAAATGATGCCATGAGAGCCTGGAATCATGTTTGTAAGATTTTAGTCCTGTATGCCCTTATATGTGGGAATAACTCCCAGATTTCCTTTTAAGTGAGCCTTCGTAGGACATAGCTCTTTTCTCCAGCAAAAATATTGTGCTTATGAATGTGATGCCTAATGCAACCAGTCCCCACACAGAGCCCACTAGATGTGTTGTGTCTCAGGCTGTCTGATTGGTGATGAGACTGTTCAACTGTTCCTGAAGTACCAGATTCAATGACACTGACTTTGATGAGTCAGTTCATCCTTTTCAGTTAAAGCAAGTAATAACAATGTTTTCTTGGATTCTCTGCTTCAATCTGTGGGTGAAACGTTACATATTTGGAAGTTTCTTACACATTGGTCCTTTCCCCACAGTATTCTGGTGGGTTCTCATAGCAGTCACATTTGAGAAGTACGGAATCCCACCCAGTGCCTTCAGGAAGTGCTTGGGAACCCAAAGGCCACTGGCAAAGCTGTGTTCCTTTCTCTTTGCCTAGAGACGAAGCAGTGAGGGAGGCTTGGGCACTTGGAAGGAATACTGTGTGCTGCTAGCATTTATGGTGCATTCTGTAAGGGAGAGGTTAGCTTTTTCAGGGGCACGTTCCCTCCTACTCTTGTTCACAGGGTAGTTGTGCAAAATAGGGCAGTTGAATAGGATTTGGTCTTCCCACAATGTGATAATGGAGTGGAATTAGTTTAACCCTATGCAAGACTGGGTCTGATTTGGGCTAAATGTAACCTTGGAGTTAGTTAAATGACTCAGTTAACCCCTTTTTGGTGTTCCCATAGCACATTAAACCCCACTTTGATCTAATTAAGAGTGTTGTGGGAACAGGTTGTAGAAAACAAGAAGTTAAGGGGAAAAAGATAATCTTATCTTTGCAGTGTCCTGGGAATTTTGTTTTGTTTGTTTCATGTATGAAAAAAAAGCATCTTTTGTGTTGTGTACAAAAATAGCCTGAGGTAGCACAGTTCAGGATAAATGCTGCCACGTGGTCCTGCTGTGTACTTAAAGTAACCTGAAGGTTTTGTTTTGTTCTGTTTTAAGGCTTTTGGTCACTTATTTGGCTCTTCTTTGTTTGTCCAATATTATGTTAATCAAGTACAAACCCCTGCAACGTATAAAAGCAGCCTGACAAGTGACCTGATTTTTAAATACACCAAACATCCCTTCGTTAGAATAATTGAACCCTCCCTTTAAAGAAATAGCCATCAAAAAATTCAGACTGATTTTCATACAAACAATATGATTGACTAGAAGAAGAGTCACCTACGTTGTGCCAAAAGCGAAAAGCACTATAACAGTAAGCTGCGAAGTACTTACTTTGTAAATCCTGGTCCTCATGAATCCACAAAAATTTGTGGATGACCTTAAGCGGCCGCTGTCTCTTATTCTTTGTTGGCTTGTTGTAAAGATGAAATAGGCAGCACTTTCCTCCTCCTTGGATAGGATGCAAAGATAATAGATCATCCATAGCACTGTCAGTCCCTGTGACCAGTCCCTCCTATTTATCATTGTCCTATCCAATACTGTGCAGGAGCTCAGTGTGTTGACCTTATGAATTCCTACATATGCCAATGTCAAGCTGGCTTCACGGGAAGACACTGTGATGATAACATGGACGACTGTGCTTCCTTTCCTTGCCTAAACGGAGGGACCTGCCAAGATGGAGTCAACGACTATTCTTGCACCTGCCCCCCCGGATACAATGGGAAGAACTGTAGCACTCCTGTCAGCAAATGTGAACACGGTCCCTGCCACAATGGGGCTACTTGCCATGAAAGAAACAACCGTTACGTGTGTGAATGCGCACGTGGGTACGGGGGCCTCAATTGCCAGTTCTTGCTTCCCGAACCCCCTCAGGGGGCAGTTGTTGTTGACATCACCGAGAAGTACGTAGAAGGTCAGAGTTCCCAGTTCCCTTGGATTGCAGTCTGTGCTGGAATTATCTTGGTCCTTATGCTCCTGCTGGGCTGTGCCGCCATCGTTGTCTGTTTTCGTCTCAAAACACAAAAGCGGCAGCCTCAGCAAGATGCCTGCAGGAGCGAAGTTGAGACCATGAACAACCTGGCCAACTGTCAGCGAGAGAAGGACATCTCCATAAGTGTCATTGGTGCCACCCAGATTAAGAACACTAATAAGAAAATAGACTTCCACAGCGAAAACGCTGACAAAAATGGCTACAAAGCCAGATACCCGTCAGTGGATTACAATTTGGTCCATGACCTCAAGCACGAGGAGACTGTCAAAGAGGATCATGGCAGATGTGAAGCTAAGGGTGAAACGTATGATTTGGAAGCAGAAGAGAAAAGTACAGTACAGCCCAGAAGGTATGGGGGCAGTGAAGGGGCATGGCTGAATGGGCCAGGCCTTTAATTTGCCAAATGTGGGGGCGTATTGAAATGGGTTGCAAAACCACCCCCTCATCTGATTTTTTTTCTTTGCAGTGAAACATCTGAAAGGAAACGGCCAGAATCGGTATATTCCACTTCAAAAGACACAAAGTACCAGTCAGTGTATGTCATATCAGAAGAGAAAGATGAATGCATCATAGCAACGGAGGTGGGTATATTCTCTCCCAGGCTCAAAACCCAAGTCTGCTGATCAGGTTTCCCACCCAATTGCACTAATTGGATCATTTCCTCTCATACAATTCTGTTCTTTAAATTTGCTCCAATGGAAGCCTTAATGATGGTTTATTTGCTTTGTAGGGTGAGTTAGTAGGGCAATTTCAAAATTACTGCCCATGAGACTATGAAACTTCCCCATAATAATATGTGGTAGTATCATCATCATCATCACCACCACCAAAGTTTTTATTGGTTAACAGATTCCTCAGTCTTCCAATTCTGTTCTTTAAATTTGGTCCAATGGAAGCCTTAATGATGGTTTATTTGCTTTGTAGGGTGAGTTATTAGGGCAATTTCAAAATTACTGCCCATGAGACTATGAAACTTCCCCATAATAATATGTGGTAGTATCATCATCATCATCACCACCACCAAAGTTTTTATTGGTTAACAGATTCCTCAGTCTTCCAGATCAGCCCGATAAAACGTATTAGACCCCTGTCCACACAGGAATTGAATGGGGCGGGCGGGGGAAAATAAAACCACTTTCCTTAAAAGTGCCTTATCTGGAGTAGATTCTTGATTGCCCCAGTGATCCAATGAATACCTTTTTATGTCTTAACGGGTGTCCTTGGATGTTTTTTTTTTCACCCCGCCTCCCTTCTGAACTCTTTGCAGGTGTAAAAGAAAGATGATACGGCAAAACTATTGTTTTGAACAATTTTCAAAGGTGATATGCCCCAATGAATGCTGCTGAACAAGGAAAGGGAGAAAGATTCCTTCACTGACTGCTGCTGAGAAACTAAATTCAGGCTGAGCTGGTTCTCTACTGAAATTAGCAAAAGGGACTGCAAATAATACATGGTGGACACTAGGTCAGGCTCTGTGTTCAAAGATACCTGTTGCACTGCCTTTTATGAAGATTTATCATTGCACTATGGCCAGTTGCTTTTTTCCTATATGTATTTAAATGAACGGACTGAATTCCTACATAAGAAGTGTGCACTGCCTGGAGTGTGTATTTTGGATTCTTACGAGCCAGTCGATTCTCGAGATACAGACACTGCCTTTATTGTCCTTTTTTATACTAAAATGTGTTTTTATTAGGTGGGGAAAGAAAACGTGTTATTTTTTTTAATCTGTAAAAAATTATTTTCAGGATATTTGTAAAGCTTGAGTATTTTGTGATTTTTTTTTAATAATTTAATTTTTTTGGTAAATATGTACAAAGGCACTTCGGGTCTATGTGACTATTTTTTGGTTTGTATATAATGTATTTATGGAATATTGTGCAAAATGTTATTTGAGGGTTTTTTTACTGTTTTTGTTAATGAAGAAATTCATTTTTAAAATATTTTTCCAAAATAAATATTATTAATGATATCCAAAGCATATGCTTTCTTTGCAAAACACTTCTGCCCACTCACAGTCAAGAAGCTGTTATTGATACAGCAGCAACTTCAAGGGAAATAGAGTTGGCAGTGTATGAAATTCCATGTTCCGGGGATAACTAATCTTAGGATTTAAATGGCCTTAGCAGTCCATGAGGGAGGTGAAGGAAGGCAAGATGTAGGCGCTGTAGTGCAATCAAAGCCTTGCCCCTTTCTGCTTCCATGTGACAGTAATCAACAGAAAAGCAGAGCAAGGGGTATATGAAAGGGCAAAGCTATAATGGCACTCCGTGGCATTGGGAAAGACCAAACTGAGATTAAGCTAGCTGCTATCAGCCTAGCATGAGGCTAGATCAGTGTTTCTCAGCCTTGGCAACTTGTCTGGACTTCAACTCCCAGAATTTCCCCGCCCGCCATTCCAAGCGGGGGATTCTTTGGAGTTAAGTCCCGACAAGATTCCCAGACTGCGAAACACTGATCTAGCCTCATGCTAGGCTGATAGCAGCTAGCTTAATCTCAGTTTGGTCTTTCCCAATGCCACGGAGTGCCATTATAGCTTTGCCCTTTCATATACCCCTTGCTCTGCTTTTCTGTTGATTACTGTCACATGGAAGCAGAAAGGGGCAAGGCTTTGATT